ATTATTAAACAATTTTTGATATTTAAAACAAATGTCCTATTATTTTGTTTTTACATAATGTGTATTCAAGTCAAGTTTAAAATTATTTATTGGAATTTTTCTTAAGAGAGGCTTATCCGTTTATTTATATTTTCCACTGAGAAATCCTTTTTAAAATATGATTTCTTAGTTCCATCGCTTTTCAAGGTATCGAATTTTTTTAAGATACATTTTTTTAATTATCCCTATTGCAGTGTATTGCAGGCAACAACAAACATGGCGCAAAAATCATTAGAAACTCTTTTGTTAGCTGGCGCACGTTTGCCAGGCTCCAAAGTCGGGAAATAAAACGGCAGAGAAAACGCCTCCGACGCAGGCCTTCCTTTCCTCCGAGGATGAGGAGCAACGACGTCGCGTATGCGCAATTTTCTGCAAAAAAAAAGGACGAGGCGGGTGGCTACCCAATTGACCGAGGCCGACGAAGGACCTCCAGGGGCTGCATCGGTGGTCTCGGCCGGGTGGCTGCTGCTGCTGCTGATGTGGCCACTTCTTTTGTTGCCCCTCCGCGGGCGGTTTCACCTCTCTAGGATTCCCCCCGCTGCCATTCTTCACAGTTGTGGTGCCCGGCAGTCTCATTTTTTCAGTTTTTTTTTCATGCGTCGCTCGTTGGTTTTGCGTGATCCACACTTTAAGCAGCCTTAGCCGCAGTGGCCACCAGCAGAAAATCCCTGAATAGAAGTGGAAAAAGGGGGAAAAGAGCAAAGGAGCAGCGGAAAACATATGCAAGCTGTAGGATTGCATCGCTAAGCAGGCCCTTAAAATGGAAGCTGCTAAAGTTTTTTAGTTTTCATTTAGAAAATCCCACTTTTCATAAGGTTTTTGTTGAGGTTTTCAAGAAGTAATGTCTTTTGTATAGCTTCTTCCACAGAACCTTTGAGGTTACTATGCTTTTGCTACTGTTATCATTCCGTTTGTCCTTGATTCCAATATCTGGCTTGGAGAGCTTGAAAAGCTTGAAGTGGCTTCAAGGAGCGTTTGAGAGAAGCTTGGAAAAACTGGCAAAGAACGAGAGTTTTCCCTTTTTTTTGCCAGCCACTTCTACGGATGGCCACTGAAAGGCGCTAGGCTTTCTAGGCATTCTCCGACTTCCTTTTCCCCCCTCACTCCCTGTTTTTTATATTCAGCTCCTGCAGGCGACACTGGTATAAACAGAGTCCCTCTTTACTTCTATTTTCATTAGGATTCTTTACTCTTTCGAAGGGAGATTTGGTTGATCAATGAAAAAATTCAATGTGATCTATGGATTCAATTTCTGGGGTATACACTTTGCACTCCTTGAAGTATGTAATGAATTTGGGGATCGGAATAAATTAAATTCAGAAAAATGTATTGTAAAATTACAAAAAATATACTTTTCAAGGGAAAATCTTTTCTATTTCAAAGGGCATTTCCAATATCGACAAACTTTATATCGAAGCACCTGCTTCGGCTTTAGCCATTTCCTGTCGCCATTTCTTTGGCCATTGCTTTCTCTTTTGGCCGTAAGTGTGTGATGGTCTGGTGTTTTTTCTTTTTTCTTATTTCAATTTGAACTCTTTCACTTTGCCAGCGGATGTCCTTTAACGTGGTTTCCAGACCACTGCCCCCGAACCTGTTACTCCACACGCTTTCTTCACGCTGCTCCGATAATTTCACTTTGAATTTCCTCATCGCTGCTGCACGGAAGCGCGCTAGTTTCCTTTCCCAGCGGACCGGTTAGTTTTCCGATTTTCCGTTGTATTTTTTTTGTTTCTGCAACTGCACTCCGGTCGCCATCTTCGGACTTGTCAAGCGGAAAGGGCCTTCATTTCCGCCACGAAAGCGCCGTCGCGTTTTTCGCTGCCAGTCCAAATATTAGGTGAAAAGTGAAGGAATGGATGGAGTTAGATAGGATCTGCTATCGAATGTGACGAAATGCTGGAGATTGATTGAAATCAATGGCTACTTTAAGCAAAGATCGCAACAAATTTGGCCGATTTATTGCAATGTTTAGAAGAAGGAGAAGATCTTTCTTTAATGTTGATAATTTCAGATAATTTTTAGATACAAAAAACACAAAAAAATTGTGCTGGTTTCCAAATTATTTAAACTCTACATATATTTATGTAATTTTTCATTTATGTTATTTATTACTAAATAAATCCATATTTTTCAAAATATTTTTTGAATACTTAAGATGCCCTTGCAAACCATGACGATTGCTGCGTATACGTAATATTTGTATTTCAAATACAAGATACTGAATAGTATGTAAATAAATAAATTTAAATATTAGAATATAGATTATTATTTAATGATTTGTTGAACAAAATTTGAAAGGCTTTGAAAGAAACGAATAAAATTATTACCTGGTGACAATATAAATCATACGCATGGTAGTCCCCGGATTTTTATGCGCAACATTTTCCAATAAAAGAAAAAACCATCTCAAGACATATAAATCCCTGAACAAAAGAAATCGCAAAAGAAAGCTAAAACACAAAGAAGAATATGTAGAAAAGTCAGCGATTCGCCAATTCTCGGGCCTCTAGAATCATTTGCGATGCGATACGCTTTTTTGCCCATGTACGCCCCCCGATTTATATATGCAGAATATATATATATAAAAGTATTTCATATGGCCCCAAACCCAAATATATATATAAGATATATATATATTTCGAGTGGTCGGGCCAATCGGCGTCGAGCACGAAGCATGCGGAGGCTCGTTTCCAAAGCCCGAGCGCAAAAAAGGTCACAAAAAAGAGAGAGGCAAATGGAATAAAATATGCAAAATATACAAAATCGCACGCACACACACACATACATACGCTGAAACGGAGAGGGATTTATTTTAGTTGTTGTTATTGGTTGCGCACACGTGTCAACTAGCAACAACAATTGCCACAATGGAGGTGCGTGTCACAACAACAGCAACGACTACAACAAAAGCAATGACAAGAAGAGAGCCGAATATTAAAAATGCGTTCGTAGCGCCGCCTACCAAGTGACGTCAGCGGGACAACAACAACAACACTGGCAATGCAATACTGCACTTGCCTGCGTCTTTGCCTCCTTTTCTTCTCCTCTAGTTTTCCCCCCCTTTTTTTTTGCCATTTTACCGTCTCCCCTTTGTGTGCTCTTTTGCTCTTTTCGTTGCCTCCTCCAAGGAGAAGAAGCAGCAGTAGCATAGAAGAGAGTAGAGCCGAAGCTTCGTTTTCCGTTCGTTCGTTTCGTTGGGGCTCGCGTTTTTTTGTTGTTGCTTCCCTCTCCACTCTCTCTCGCCCCAAATGGGTGCGAGCGTGTGTGTGCGGGAGCACCTAGCTTGCTGGCTCACTCACTCCCATGCGGCGCTGGCTTTGCGGCCAGCTTTGGGGGCGTGGCCAAGTGGCGAGCGCCGTTTTTCTCTGCTCTTTTTGCCATAGTTTTGGGCCAAGCCAACAACAACGGCTAAAGGAGCTGCCGCCAGAGGGTTGGCAACAACTATTGGCAACACTTTCTTGCCGGACATTGGTCAGCATCTCTCTTTCTTGCAGCGCTTTGTTGCTGCTGCAAGTTGCTGTTGCAGCAGCTGCTGCTGCTTCTTTATCTCTTCAAGTCGCCAATTTTGGCGTTTTTAGGCTTTATACTTTACTTGCCTTTCTTAATTCGCGATTTCCTTTGATTCTTACTTGGGGGATTTATTTATGGGATGAGTTGGGTGAAATATGGCCGGTTTTGATTGAATACCCATTCTACAAAGATAGAGATATGGCGGTAAGTGATTCGAGAAACCAATTTGGTCCACTAAATTTCTTTAAATGAAAATAATGCGAAGACAAAAAAAAAAAATAATAAATAAATAACAATTCTTAACACCTATCTTGGTAGTCAACATTATTTTTATTTTCATATATGTATATTATGTTATAAAGTTGCTTTCAAACTTACCAAAATATAATGTTGTAATATTTTCTGAAAGTAAAAAAATAACATGTAAGTTGAAATTAATATATTAAAAAAACGTTCAAAAAATTTAAAATTATATTTCCGTAGCGTAGTTTTTATTGGTTTATACCAAAAAAAGACTTTCAGATATGATAGATATCTATTTGGATTTAGAAAACTTTGGAGTTGTATTACAAGAAATAGTAATCAAATCTTTTAATTTGTTTTTATTTTTGTATGTTTTGATTTCCTCATTTATTACGATTTTATTATTTGAGTATTTTTCCCTGTAGATAGCTATAAAATGTAAATAATAATTATTATTTTATTGGAAATCTTATCCTATCTCTAGGGAAAATAACTAATTCATTAAATTAATTAAACCTATCTTATTAGTTGACACAGATTTCGATCGCCTGCATTTCTGACGACTAATTGTTACAGTTTTACCTTTTACCAACTCCATCGATAATTATAGAATTTCTTTCAATCTGAAGGAATTGGTAAACAGTGTAATTGTCGGGTCGAAGCTTTCTTGGATATCTTTCTCTTTTAAAACATCAAACAAGGTATTAAAGTATAAAAGATAACTCATTAAAAGATAATAATTAGGAAACAAAAATTAAAAATAAATCTTAACCGATCGATCTAAAATTTTACCAATATATTAAATTTACCATTTAATATAAACCAATATCATTTTTTCATATTTTTACAAAATACATTTGACAAAATAAGATAAAATGAGAATTACTAATATCACTTACATAACCTTCTAAACATATCTTCATGAAGATCTTTCAAGTGATAAAAATGAAATCCCAAAAAACCTACATTTTTATTGTTAGTTACTTAAATGCCTCTTTTTAAGAGAACCAATTGCTTACTCTTAACGAATTCGCCGCAAAAACCGGAAAAACGACCGGCGCTCTCACCACCTCGCTCTCGCCTTTCTCCTACCCCTCCGAGCGAACGCGAGCGCTCTCACTCGCCGAGCGCTGCCGGCGTCGACGGCGACGCAGACTGAGCGGTCTCGAGTTTCATTCATTGCACGACGTATTCAGTGGATACGATGTACCGTGAAATCAGTAGATATTTTACTTTCGGCGTGAGTGCACGTTTGTTTTCACGGCAAAAAAAAACTCGAGCAACAACAACAACAGCATAAGCAAGTCTAGTGACAACAACAAAAACAACAGCAACAAGCAGAACTGAAGCAGCAACAACAAGTGACTAGTGAAGCAACAACAACGATTAGTTGCAGCATGTGTTGCATGCAGTGAACAAAAATAAACACCAGAAGTTTTTATTAATATTCATAATTAACATCGAAAAGAAAAACACAGTGAGAAAAGAAAGCAAAGCAGAGTGTGTGGTGCCAAGGAAAAAGAAGGAGACCAAACCGAAGTGTACGTGATTATTAAAGATAATTATAGTGTGGTATTATTTACGACAAATGCCCGAGCAGGTTGCATTTAATTGGCGCTGCACGAAAATCGATTTTCCTCGATTTTCCTACCTTATAGAAATAGTATACCCGTGCATATATATTGTGTATATGTACTATATATATAAATTATCCCGTCCGCGCATTTTGCGTTCCACCCAAAGAAATTGTAATTTATTAATTTATAACACAATCCCACCCACCGAAAGGTCGTAAAAAGCTATGGTGTTGCTGCTGCTGCTGCTGCTGCCGTGGCTACGATGTTGCTGCCACTGCCGCAGCTAGCTGCTTGCTACTTGCTGCCTCGTCTTTGGGCGCACAGGAATTAAGAAGAAAACTTACGCGAAGGAGCAACTTTTGCGAGTTGCTTCCGAGTGCCTCTCTGCCACCGCCACCGAGTGGGTGGCACGCGCCAAAAACAGTTTGTAAACATTTTCCGCAAGGAGAAAACCCAGAGAAAACTCGCAGCAAACTCTGGCCCAGCAGCAGCAGCAGTAGCAGCAGCAACGAGCCCTGCCGCCTGTGTAATTTATTACTTGCTGCATAAATAATAAATAAGCGTTAATAAATAAATACAATATACAATATATAAATGTGCCTCGTTGTCTGAAAATCCACCCAGCAAACACCCAACCTCCTCCCAACCCCCTCTGTGTGTGTGTGTGTGTGCGAGCTTCGAAGGATCCACAACCTCGAGACGAAATTAAATAAATAAATACAAAAATAATAATAAATAAATACAAAGGGCACACAGGAAAAAAAAACTTGATATACTCGAAAAATTGAGTTGTATTTGTTAATAAAATTAAAGTACTTTCTTTTAAAAAAGTTATTATATATTACTTGGTAATGTACCTGACTTTATTTTTAATTTTATTTACTTTAAATTTGGTTAAAAATATAATGGGAAGGATCTATTCTAAAGATTTTTTAATTGTTATATAATTTGTTTATTTTTTGATCCTAAAGAGTGTTTTTAACTAACTTAAAAAGTCGTTTTTATAAACGAATATTTTATAATTTAGCTTAATACTAAATGAGTTATAGATACCTTACAGTTGCTATATAAATTTTCATTAAATAATTGTATAAATATAAGTGTAGTTATTTTATATTAAATTAAAATTCAACACAAAATTCTTCTAAATAATATTAAATACAATTTCCCGAAACATTTATGAACTTTAAATATTTTTGTTCTGTGCACAGAAGTGGCTCTCATTTCGCTGTTGTTTATTCCCCTTTAGTATGCTTTTTTTTGTGTTGTTGTTTAACAGCTGCGCTCGTTATAAATAATTAATCAAAAATAAAAAATGACGAGGAAACAGGAAGTGCCCAAGCAATTGGCAACTATGAGAGATCAAGAAAACGACGATATGATTTCCGAAAAAATTCATTCCAGTTCAGTTAAGTTCAGTTCGAGTTTGAGTTTGAGTCTCGTTTCAGTTTGTAGTTGTGGATTTTGTTGTGCATTTAGGCAATTTACTTATTTATTTATTTGAGACTGACTTTTTCCAAAGAAGCATCAAATTTAATGCGAACAGTGGCGGCGGCAGCTACAACGACGATAACAGCAACAAACATGAATAAATAAAAGGAATAACAAAAGGCAGAGCGCGGCCATAACAATAAACCAAAAGTTGCCAAAAAGGCGAGAAGGAGGAGGAGGAGGAAAAGCTGCCGAGTGGAGAGAAAATGTTCTTCTCCAAGGGCAGCTGTAGGGGGGAAAAACTGAACTGATGGGCTGCGGGTGAGGCTCCCTCGGCGATGACTCGCTTTCTCTCTCTCTCTCTTTGTGGCAACAACAATAAAATAAACAAAAATAATAACAGTCGACGACGTCGAGTCGTGGCTACAGCCACAAGATTTAATTGGAATGAAATAATAATAAACATAAAAAGTAGCAAGAAGAAGAATTATAATAACAATAATAATAAATATAATTAAATTTTATGACAGCTGCGGAAACTTTTCCACCCCTTATGCGGGCTCAACCTCCCAGTAGCCTCACCCAACAACCCATCCCCCCGAGCACACTCATAAATTAAAATTATACAAAATATTTAAATAAATATAATTACTTTTGGCTCTCTCTCTCAGCGCTGCCATAAATAATAATATTTAATTAAATATAAATCTATAGATGGGCGATGTGCGCATGCAAGTAGATCCAGAGACAACAATACAAAATAAGCAATAATAGCGCACACAATTACTACATATAGATATACTATATATATAAAGATATATATATATTCATTTGCCGCTGCCCGTACACGTATATAGATGTGTATAAATACAATGCCGAGCGGAGGAGCCTACAAATAATTGCAGCTCAGTAATATAAATTAAGCCAAATTAAACATAAATAAATGTGTGCTTAGCTTTTAGCTAATAAAGCACATTTCTGGCCATGGGCGGGCAGTGGGTGGTGCCAGAAGGCGGCGGGCGTCGGGCGTAGGAAATACTAAACATAAATTAATAGAAATTCATGGAAATTTTCGACTCAGCAGCAGAGGGAGAAGCAAGATTAATAGGCTTATTTCATAAAGTTATGACTAAGAGCGAGCGCTTGATATGCATGAAATACTTCCAAAGATATTAAGTAGATTCTACCGAACATATTCAATTAGTTGATGCAAATAATACGCAATATATATTAGTAATGATTTTTCCAAGGAAAACACAACAACAACAAGAGCTTTGTATATTTTTTCTAGCAGAATATAAAGCTAAATTACTCATTTCCTTTTTATTTACAAATGGGGTTTAGCAATCCGAGAAAGCTAGCTGAGAACTCATTCATATAAATTTGTTGTGCAAGATGTTCTATTTGAGCTCTTAGCTCAATTGGAAATATTTCAAATGGCAAAGGCCTTTTAAGAACCGAAAAAAACAAATAATTTATACAGGTAAACATATAGGTTTTAATTGCTAAAGAATTTTCATTGAAATATTTCCCCCACTTGGTGGGGCTGTCGAATATTAAAATTTGTAATTTAAACTGATAGATGATTGGATAAATGTGCGAAATCGCCAGTTTATAGTTTCCTTTGAATTGTACTTTTAATTATATTGAGAATCATGTGAAATTTTTCTCTTTTCCAGCGCTTGAACTGCTCTGCCCGGAAAAGTTCTCGTAACGGCACGGTTAAAAATGTGTTAGGGATCCGCGAGAGACACCTTCACTTCATCAGATACAAACGGAAACCACATCCAGCCAACCATGGACATGACCAAACAGATAATGGACTTTGAAATGAAGTCAGAGTACGAGGGAGATCAATTCGAGGCGAGTGACTATACAATGCCCAGCGTAGAAGATCCCAAAATGGTGTCACAACCCCTCATTGAGGACTCGGAGGAGAGCGATCGGAGATCCTCGCCGGAGAGAGAAGTGGAAACTAGTTTTGAGGACCCCAAAGAGGCAGATCCTCAAACAGAGAAAGACCTACCCGACACAGGTGTCATCAAGTCCACGGAGAAGGATGCAGACACAGCAGACACAGTGCTGGTGAAGCCAAAGTCAAGTCTGGAGAACGAACAGCCCCTGACACCGCCGCCCCGCCCGCTGACCTCCAGCGAGGTGGTGGGTCTCCGCGATCCCGACGACCAGGAGCTGCGTCTCCGCCTGGAGGCCAAAAAGTCCCGCTCCCTGCCCGTCTCGCCACAGCCCCAGCAGCAAAGCCTCAAGCTGGCGGCATCGGCTCTCTTCGAGTTCGGCCAGGCATCATCATCGCCTCCCATGGAGTCTAAGGTCAAGAGCAGCCCGGAACTGAAGACTCCGCGCCGAAAGGTAACTCCTCCCAGTGGCGGGGACAACCAGCAGTTCTGTCTGCGTTGGAACAACTACCAGTCCAACCTGACCAATGTCTTTGACGAGCTGCTGCAGAGCGAGTCCTTCGTGGACGTCACCTTGTCCTGCGAGGGTCAGTCGATCAAGGCCCACAAGATGGTCCTCTCCGCCTGCTCGCCCTACTTCCAGGCTTTATTTTACGATAATCCCTGCCAGCATCCCATTATAATCATGCGGGACGTGAGCTGGTCGGACTTGAAGGCTCTGGTGGAGTTTATGTACAAGGGGGAGATCAACGTTTGCCAGGATCAGATAAATCCGTTGCTCAAGGTGGCCGAGACCCTGAAGATCAGGGGCCTGGCGGAGGTCAGTGCGGGTCGCGGAGATGGCGGGGCATCCGCACATCCAATGTCCGTTTACGACGACGATGACGACGAGGAGCTGGCGGCAGCAGCCACTGCCATTTTGCGACAACACGACGATCCCGATGCGGACGATGAGCTCAAGGCCAAGAGGCCGCGCATGCTGGCCGACGGCGCCCTGGATCTCAACAAGAGACAGCGAAAGCGCTCCCATGACGGTAGCTATGCCACGCCCAGTCCCTCGCTGCAGGGCGGCGAGTCGGAGATTTCGGAGCGCGGTTCCACCTCGACTCCCGGCCAGAATCAGACCAACCAGCCACTGGCCATGACCACTTCGACGATCGTGCGCAATCCCTTTGCCTCGCCCAATCCCCAGTCGCTGTCGGGCGGCAATGGAGGCGGCTCCTCCGCCGGAGGATCCCAGCGGAACTGCTCCTCACCGCCACCAGCATCGGGACACAGCAATGGCAGCAGCTCGGCAGCCATGCACTCCCCGCCAGGCGGAGTGGCCGCCCAGTCTGCTTTGCCCCCGCACATGGTCGCCGCCGTGGCTGCTGCCGCTCACCATGCCGCCGTTGTGCCACCCCCTCCACCCGCCATGCATCACCATGCCGCCGCTGCTGCTGCTCAGCAGTTGGCCGCCCAACATCAATTGGCTCACTCGCATGCCATGGCCAGTGCTCTGGCAGCAGCTGCCGCAGGAGCAGGCTCGGGATCGGGAGCTGGCTCGGGCGCAGGATCGGGAGCCAGTGCACCGACTGGCGGTGCTGGAGTAGGAGGCAGTGCCTCTGTCTCATCAGTGGGTTCCCATCACGATGACATGGAAATCAAGCCGGAAATTGCCGAGATGATTCGCGAAGAAGAGAGGGTGAGTGATTATAATATAATAATACTTGTATAAAATATTAGTTTTATTTTTTAGTATTTAAAAAAACTTTTTAGAAATTTAAGACTTTGGTTGATAAAACTCTAACAGAATTCCCATTTCTTTCCTTCCTCTTTGAATAATTTTATTGAACTCTTATATATTCAATTTTATTCTGCAAATGAAATAGAGAAAACCCTCTGAGTATAATTTTATTCACAAAATAGATTAAAGCTTATTAATAAATTAAACATTTTGCATATTCTTAGTTGAAACCGACATTATGATAAATTTATTTTTCCCCGAAAACGGAAAAGAAAATCAAAATAAATCTCTTGAAATTGGGCCAAAGATGTTCACATAAATAAAGTGATGAATTTGTTTAAAAGATTTTAAGCAGCCCTCTTTGGGAGCCAATTTTTCATATATAAATATAAATTAAACAAATTCAAAGAACACTAAAAACTAACAATGAATAAGTAGCTAGATTTAGGATAAATAATGAGTAATAATTGCAGAGGTTATCTGCCAAAGCCATGAAATCATCTAGCCAGCCATGTGATCATTGTGACTAATATTACGGCTTTAAAATCCACTTACATGCAAATACATGACACAGATCTCAGCGAATAAATTAGATCATTAAATTCAAATCTGATACAAAGTAACAGAAGCACGATCATAAATATTGATAAATAATTGCACCGCCAAAGCAATTAATATATATATAGAGAGAGAGAGGCATTAGGCGAGTAGAACTGATACTTGGAGAGAAAAAACCCATCCAAGCATAGAGTTTTCAAGTCGGGCTCCATTTCCCCGTCTTCGTCTTGACCCCAGAGACCCGCTTCTTCCTCCGCTTTGCATAATGCGCATACGCCGCGTACGCCGCTCACTTATTTATTTATCGTTTGGGGCTGGGAAAGCGGGTGCAGGGTGCAAGGGTGAAGGGTGCAGTGTGCATGCATATTAACGAAATCTTTTGCATTTACCGCAGGCCGCACTTACCTTATTCGTTGTTATTTCTATTAGATTGCAAATTAAAGCTGATTTACTATTTGTATAAGAAAACCGACTCGAGGGCACAGGGGGGCGACGAGGTCGCGACATTAAGTGCGTCAGCGACTTGAAAAATAATTCAACAACATTTAATGCTAATGACGAAAATTGCACAATGCACGCACACACACAAATGCGGGGACAAAAACTGGCTAAAGACACCGAAGAGCAACAGAGAGGGAAACTCAACAAAATTATAAACAATTGGCAAAAATTGATGGCAAGGCAAACAAAAGTCGCACAAATATTTGATTTGTCCGTCTCGTGCATCTGATTCTCCATAATTGCAACTAATGCGCCTCCGATTTTCCCTCACTTTTGCACTTTGGCTGCATTCTTGGCTATGTTTTTCTCTATTTTTTTTTTTTTTGTTTATAAACACTTAATGTGTGACATTGAGCATTATTCTTGAGCCGGCATATTTTTCCACATTACTTTTGCACTCGAATTGTTTATATACAACTCGGAACTTATGTAAATAAATCCATATAATCAATGGGTGGCTGCTCATGAATATGAAACTTGGCTTGTACACTAAGCAAATAATTCAAGAATATGATTGTGGAAGTGTATACAATCTAAATCATATTCATTTCTAAGAAATTAATCATTTTCAAAGCAGCAATATAGTATTTTCTATAAAAAGTAAACGTTTTAGATAAGAAATCTTATATTTTCTAGCTTAGTCATCATAGAGTCATAGAAATATTATTCTTTTAATTAATTTCTCCAACTGTAAGTTGTAAATATATATAAAGATACGCTACCAAGGCAAGCGGCCTGCATATTTATGCGTGCAAAATGAATTAGATATAAGAGAGCAAAAACCCTTGGATGCCCCCTTGATTTTCTCATATTATTCGCAGCTTCTGGCTCGCACAATTTACTGTTCCTTTGTTAATTTATTGAAATGAAATGAGAAATAAAATCAAGAAGAAATAGACGGCAGTAAAAGCGCAGAAGGAGAGGCTTCCTCTTCCCATTTTCTTTTACTTTTCCTCATTCCGCAAAACCACCAAAATTTGACGACGTCACTGGGGGGAAGTCCCTGGCCGCAAGAAAGGCAGAAGGACGATGAAGCTGGGAGCCTGTTACTTAATAGAGTCCAACTTTTCCTCAGTCAATTCCGAGAGTGTTCTCTCTTCGAGTTTTCCCCAGCCCCCCTCCGCTAGCATTTCCATCGCATTTTCATTCATAGAAGCCAGAAGGCGAGAGCAGCTCACACACAGGGCATGAGAGAGAGAGAGAGATGCGGAGACACACACGCAGCGCTGGGGGAACCCAGCAGTCAGGAAAAGTCACAAGAAACTCAAATTCAAGAGGGTTTGTCCTCCCACCACCCCGCCTCATATTCTCCGCAAATTTTTGTGCGAGTTCCTTGACTTTTCCTTGTATTTGCCGTGCCTTTTCTTTTGTGCGTTTGCGAATTGTTTTTGCAAGAAGAATATTACTGAAAATTGCCGAGTGCTGAAAGTTCTTTGACAGCCAAGGGCGGGCCCCCTTTCCCGGGTTTTCCCGAAAATTCCCCCCCAGTATCTCTTTGTCTCGGGCGTTAGTCATAATTGCTCCATGGGTATCTCCATCTCGGTGGGTTCTTCTGCTTTGGCTTTATGCAAAGCAGGTTGCTTGAACTCCAGCGATCCAGAGGAAATGGTTAGTTTAGGAGGTTTTCTTTTTATATCTCCGCTCTTTTTTTGAGCGTGTGAATCTTTCCTTATTTATGTAGTTTTCTTTTTTGTTCGAGCCCAACTTAAGCCAAATGTCACCGGCTGTTTCCTGTGCGGTCCGAAGCTCATTAGAGGTCTTTGATTGATTCGAACCGGGGCCGGGAAATAAATCAAATTTATGTTCGCCGGTTTTACATAAAACCCCGCCGATCGTTGGCCACCCCGGGAGTATGGAAATCAGAGTCGGTTGCCAATGGGAAACTCTCAAGGGGCCTCTTATCATCTGGCATTCGTATACATATGTACCAGGGGCTGGTGGTTAAAAGCATTTTCCATTTCGAAGATTAAAGGATTTCGTAAGGCCAGGCGGCACTTTGGAATTCAGTCAGTCAGTCGCCTGAATTATATGTGAATTCTATAATTTACGAGGCAATTTCGATAATTTCTTTAGTTTGTTGCCTTGGCCATAAACGTTGCAGCAATTGTTCTTGCCCAGGTTATATAAAAAGGGAATTTTCGATGCCCGAGCAGCCGCAGCCGGTCGACGGGGCCACACTCGAAATAAATAAGTAATTTATTTTATGGCAGACCCGAGCGAGCCATAAACCCACATAGATCTTATCGCCGCGCAAATAATACAACAATATAATCATAATAACAATTTGTAATCTTAAGTCGCGTCGATGCCAGCTCTTGGCTTTGGTAATTTCCCTGATAAGATTTCTCCAGCCCCGCTCATTCCTTTTCCCTATTTTTTTTTCCTATTTTTTCTTTATTTTTAATTCTCTCCTATTGGCGCTACGTGATCAGTGCTCTTGTAGTTCTTATATTAAAGACTGATAAAGTTAGCCGGATGACTCGTGGGACTGTGACGCAGTGACTTGGCCGATTTTGGCCAAATCATCTTTGTATTTACAGGCCGACGGTGATTGTTTAAATAAAGAAATGAAAAAAAAAATAGGGAAAAAAATGAAAAACGATTAGCGTATACTGGGGGACAATAGAATTTTTATGGCTCTGTGTATATCTGGGTTTTTCAATGGCCATCGAATCATGGCCCAAGTCCGTGCACTTGCCTCGGGGGTAATTATAGAAAAATATTTGGCTAATTGGTATATAGTATAGGTTTAGTATCAGATTCGTTGGTTTATTGGTGGAAACATTTGCCATGTGATTTGTTATCGTAATTGTTTATTGGATAGTGTTTATATTTTGGAACCTTAAAGTTGGGACCTTGTACCCTTTGATTTTTTTTTATCAAAGATTTAACTTTATAAACTCTTAGAAATTAATTACTTTACCCCTCACTTGGTTCTTGATATATATTTTTATATATATTTTATATGACCCGAGGCAACTTTGAAACTTTCCTATGCACTGGGTTCATTCTCCTGCCCATTCCATTCGCTTTCACTTAATGTTCCAGCTGCGTTCCTTCGTTTGTTTTCCTTGCGTTAAGTTTTGTTATATTTCCATTTATTTGGCTGCCTTTTGTTACACTTTATTTATTTATTCCGCATTTATTGTGGGCTACATACACACACACTTTTCCGTCGTTAGTGCAGTCGCGACTGTTGTCTTTATGACGACTACGACGATGACGACGATAATAATAATGATGGCGACCGTGATGATGATGATGATTATTATTGCCATAGCCTGTTTCTGCCTCAGTTTCAGTTTCAGCTTGAGTTTGAGTTTCTGCTGCTGCTGCTGCTGTTACTGTTGCCTCGGTGTGTTTTCATTGTAGGAAAGACACAAGAAAATTATAGGTATCTGCCCTTATGGCGCAGCGCAGCGGAGCGAAACAATAAAATATAAAATAAAATATGTACGAGTCTGTTTACGCAATTACAAGCGGACAAACACGGCTACGGCGTGTATCTCCAAGTCGTCTTGGGCCAGAGATACAATATTTATAACCAGAAGATACGACAGATACGAGAGCAGCAGATACAGCTACAGCTACGTGCATCTTGCAGATACTATGTTGCCGCAGCCTGTAACAATTAGGGGCACTCACTCACAAAAGGGAGCACACAGATAGCGGCGGCTTAAACGAAAACCGAAATTAAAGAAAATTATCTTGTACATCTGGTAGTTTCACCACCACCGCAAATGGCATTATAATGTGTTATAATTTGACAGTACTTACACAGAAAGCAAATACTGTCGCCTTGCCATAATAACCATCAATAATATGCCAAAAGTAATTGCAATCTTGGGAAAGTGTACTTTAATAAATAAGTGCTTAGAAAGGCAATAATAGTTTTTGTA